AACTCATTCATTAAAAATAATTAACAAAGAAATTTTTTAAAAACTGGTGGCACTCTTCCTGAGTGATTTTTCATAACATTCATGAAAGTTATCAAACTGGAAATAATTCGCAAGACCAAGAGCAACTTCAGAAAAATATTTTAGTTTTACATCTTTATTATTACTTAATTGAGTAATTGGTTTGTTGAAGTTTTTATTTACACTTCTTACGTTTATGCGTATTGCTTTATTTTTATAAGATTGAATTTTTGTAATGCTGCTAAGTTAAATTTTTAAATATTTAAATCTTTTCTAAACATCTATATGTCAACCAAAATAATAGTTCATAAACAAACAAAAATAAAAAACAATAAAATAAATAATTTTAATACATTTAAAAAAAAAAAGTTTTTTTTTAATTCTCCTTATATAAAAAGTTTCAGTTAAAACCTTGTCAAGCCAACAGGAAGAAATAATAATTACTTAATAATGTAATTCATTTAGTAAATAAACTTAATGAAAAATTGCCAGAATTTTATTAAATGCATGAAAACAAATAAAAATATATATATATTTATATATTATTTTTATCTTTTTATTTTATCATTAATTACAAATATAAATATGTGCATTATTGTTAGGTTTTTGTTTTCTCATAAATAATTATAATAATAAATTATTATTAATAAAAAAAACCAATAAGATGACTAATTAGTCTGATTTTTTCAGCGCGTTTTTAAAATGCGTCATTTTTAATAAATGCAAAAAAAATCGTGGCCATGTTATCAACAAAAAAATATATATGAGTGGTCATTCAAGGCGTGTGACCGCACGTGTCTTCTGAGAAGGCCTGTTGTAGTTAGAAATAAAAAATATTTAAGTTTAAATATATAGATAAAGTTTTGTAAGATCATTTCAAGGAATTTGAAAAAATAGATTAATTTCAAAACAAACCTTGCAATTACATCTAATGACCTTTGTTATTGCTTCTGGCCCAATGTCTTTATTGTTCGTTATAGATGTGATTACTCCGTCATGTTGCTTCCAGCCCCATTTAGTTGCATCTAGTTTAATGTCATTAATTAGTGACCATAACATTATTTGATAATGTGCGCGCAGGCCATGAAAGTAAGCAGCTTTATCAGTAGGTGGAAGTTTCTCTGGCAATATTATACCCTTGCATGCTAAATCGATGTATTTATTATACCTAAAGTTAATAAAAAAAGAAAGTAAGTCGTTTTGAGAACATTTAAGTTTATTTACAAAACAAAAAATTTTTGTTTTACGGACATACATGGAAACATACAAAACTTAAATGTTCTTAAAATATCTTGGTGCGAAAGAATAAAAAGAATATTCGCGAACACTAAAAACTTGCCAAATTAACAAACAAACTAATTCTATTGGTTCAAAAAATACGCTGACTAAGCAAAATAAAGTTCTAGAGCATTCTGTTGAAATGTTTTAAAAATTGTATTATTCACGATTTGTTACGTTTTGAATCGTATATTGTTTGTTTACAAAAATAAATGTTTTAAATATATATTAATTGTCAAAATTTTAAATTTTTATTATAAATTATAGACTTTATTAGTATATTTTTATTTTTTATTTAAAAAGTATGAATTCTTTATGTAAATGTAATTTTGTGTATCTGTTTTTTATCGTAATGTATCTTTTAAAGCAATTTTTATGATTTAAACAAAGAATTACAAAAATAATTGCGTTTTCAATGAAGTTATAATCGTTAAAGTTAATAAAACTAATTATGTAACAAACATATAAGAAGTTTCTGGTTACTAAACACAAACATTGCATACAAAGTAACTCGCGGATGAACAAGCACCGCGCCTGAGGTCATGACAGAACACAAATATGTAAAGCAAATAATTAGATATAAAGAAAAGTTTCTAGATATTGGCTTAGTAACTCTAATTATTTTCGCTTCAGTTGCCATTCTTAAAAACTCGTTATACTTTTTTCTGCTTTAAATACTAATTAAAATTAAAAACTCACTCACTAAACATCATCAGATATATTGTGAAGCAGTTTCGCTTCCTCGTCATAAATTATTTTTAATCTTTTTAGTTGATTTCTTTCTTGTTAATTTAATTTCTATAGTAATTCAATGATTTAATTATTTCATTTGTTTATCTTACTAATAAGAATTGCTTCAAATATGTTAAACTTTTCAAACTATGCGAAACATAAAATAGGTATTAAAAAAATTAACTTTTTTATTTATAAAATAATTTAGCTTAAATAACACTAAAACTTGTAAACTTTGTTTAATACAGAATATTTGTTTCCTTTTTAAACAATCGTAAGATGTTACTTTCCATAAAAAACATCGCCTAATTTTATAAAAAAAATTATAAAAGAGCGATGTTTCGAAAATACTTGTTCTAAACGTAATTTATTTAGCTTTAAGTTTTTTCGTGTTTAAAGAATAAATAAATATTTGCCTTATTTTTTTATTTTCTTTTTGTAATTGTCTCTCATCAGTCCAATTAATCTTTTGCGCTTTTTTTTTTGCTTTTCGAAACGTCTCAAAACGACTAATAAATCTGGCCAGCTTTTCGCAACTAAATACTATTTCTGTGGTCAGCAATCGAGAGTGATCGCTCCCGCTTCCCGACCAAGCCTGAAGTTTGTATTTGCGATATCGAGAGTGGTTTTAACAACGGTGCTATCAGCATCACCAGAGCGGTTTACAGTCAAAAACCCCAATTGATTTAAATGATGTAAAAGAAAGTTTATGAAATTAGCTTTGTTTTCAATATTACTTATAAAACGATCCTGAGTAAATGGCACAAGTTTATCTTGGTTAGTTACTACATTGCAGTTTTGTGGAAAAGAATTTCTGCGTAGATGCTCATGACTCTTTGTGCCTTAATCTTGATTGTCGTCAAAAATAATCGTGACGAATCCCTGGTGATTTTTTTTATAAAACTTGAATAAACATCTGCTACAGCATTGAATTTCATTCCTTCAAACGATCTAACTCTATGTAGCAATGCACCACCATCTAAAACATAGTAGTTTGGAGTCTTAATATCTTCATATTTAGCAGCATCTTCATCGCACATTATTACTTTGCGAAGGGATGTTTTATCTGACTTTCATGCATTGTTTAAAAAGTGACTCATAAGTTAATTCATGTTCAAATATAAATTCTAAATCATCTTTACATGCTGTGAAATTTATTAGCCGGTTAAACATTATGCTTGATTCTCCTATTGGTTCTTTACTACTTTTTACCTTTGCATGCAGCAACGAGTCCAATGTTATGATTTAATTTTTTCTTTTAATTTTTGCGTCTTCAAAAAATACGTTATCGAACCCATTCTGAATACTTTTACCAACTTCTTCAGCAAGCTCACAATTTACACCATCTTTATAAGTAAATAATACGATATCAGTCGACAGTGAGTGGAGATTTTTGTCAGGAATACAGAATGCGTTTCAATCAACTAATTATTCATAACACTTTTTACAATCTTCATAATCTTGCTTTGTTCTTGACTTTCCGATTTTTTCATGTTGCTCACTGGAGCTTGTCGATACACCTGCTAGTTGAATCATAGCATCATATATTGAAGTTATATGTGAAAGGCTTAATGCCCACATGTGATGGACAGATTCTGACATTCCACGGCCACCGTCATGCGTCATTTTATAATAGGGCCCAAAAAAGAGGTTGTTCTGTTGGGAATCATGGGGCATTTTTTTCGTGATCTATATACCTTAGGGAGTCACTAGGCAAAGTTTCAACTTTATAAATTTTTTTTTCCACAAACAGTAGTTTTTTGAGTTTTACTCCTGGACTACTTGAATTTATTACTTATAAAACATTTTTTATTTTTATTTTTCATATTTATCAAACTGAAAAAAATAAACTAGAAGACAAAGAAAGCACTCTGAAAAAGAGTTATTTATTTAGAATTATTTATTTATAATCATTTCACAAGATCTATAAACTGATGAAAGCTACTAGTAACAGGTAGTTGTTACACCATTGTACCTTCCTAGTTGTTCTTCATTTTGCAATTGTCTAATTCTTAGTATGTAAGGGTGATTCCATGTGAAAACATCTAGGGCATGCAACTAAGTCTCAGATTTTGCAGATTTCTCAAAAATACTCAAAGATTTTAATAAGTTATGAACATCCCCAAAATTTCCTTTTTAGGCTCATTTTTATAAACTATTGAATGCTAAATTAAATAAAATAATAAATGCTCCATCATATAGAATATGTTGTTGCACGTATAAAGTAGAAAGTGATAAAATAATAAAATGCAGAAAATGATGGTAAACAACTTTATTAAATATTGATATTTTTTTACCAAGAATTGTCTCAACTAACTGTTGGCCACTGGTCAATAAAAAAACAACTGTTTATTATTCATTAAAATTAATTTAGTAAGTTACAAGTTGTTTAGTATAGTAAAAAAAATTTAATAAAATATTTAGAAACATAAAAAATCAGATTATGATTCTAAATTTCCTCATTAAATTTAACTATTAATTTAACTCTTGAAAAAAAAAGCTTATACATCTGCAATTTTATAATTGAATCAACCCCAGTAAAATTTTAATAAATTTTTGTTTTTTTTTGAGAAATTATGTTTTGTTGATGATAATTTTTGACATTTCCGCTGAACTTTTATTTTGTTCATACTTCATTCCAGGGATGGTATTGGTATTTTTAGTGATAAATAGGCAGAAAAACAGGCTTTTTTTTTAAAAAAAAAAAATTCATTTTATCCCAAAGTTTTTTTTAAATTCATTTTTATATTACTATTTATATATTTGTTTAGTTATTTAGTTAATAATTAGATAAAAATGTGATAATATAATAATGTTATGACATAATAGTTTTAATAAAATGACAATATATAAATAATGTTATACAATATAAAGTCATTTTATAAAAACGTTAAATAAATATATATATATATAAGATTTTTTCTTGGCAAATCTTTTATAAAAATTTTAAAAAACAAATTCTGTGTTTTAAGATTCAAAGTCAAACGATATTCATTTCTCTGACCAAAAAAATCACATTAACAAGGAAGAAAAGCTGCTTCCTGAAAACGATGCTTGTTTAGAAGAAAAGTTTATCATTGAATTCCTTCGATCTAAAGAAGGTGTTGACTTGATTGCAAAAGCATACAACATTTCTGTTAACGATTTTATCTTCTTTGTTTCTAATTTAAAAAAAAGAGTAAATGTAAAAGAAGAAGAAAAACAATCATTTTGTGGTATTTTTTTAATTACTGCAACTGTTATTATTATTGTTATTGTTATTATTATTACATTTTGATTTTTTTTTTCTATGTTAAATTACAAGTTGTTAATAGTTATGGTGACAATAAAAAATGCAAGAAAGGTTTAAGCTTAAAATTGTAGCTTTTATATCAAAGGTATGTAGCCTTTATATCCAATATATATGTAGCCTTCATATCAAAGTTATGTAGCCTTTGTATTTTTTTTTTTTTTTTAAACATCTTCATAGTATTTGTAGAAAAGAGAAAGTGAAGCAACATTACGACAATGTAACAGAGGTTGAAGGTTGGCTGCAAGAGCAGATCCAACTATGTTTACAATGCGTTTTTGCACCTTGTCTAAAAGAGAAAGGGCATCATTAGAAGATCCGCCCCAGATATGGCAACAGTATTCCATACAAGGCCGGATTTGAGATTTATAGAGATAGAGAATAGAATCCAGAGTAAGAAAGTGTCGAGCTCGATAAAGAGAAGCAACTTTAGCAGATTCTAATTTTGCAACGGATTTGATAAATGGTTTCCAAGAAAGATCAGAAGTAAGAGTTAATCCTAGAAGATGAAGGGTAGGAGACTCATCGAGTACATTACTGTTCATAAATATAGGAAGGTCTAAATTATTGCGATAATGATTGGCTGAAAAAAAATTGAGTTTTATCTGAATTAAAGTTCACCAGCCACTGCGAGCCCCATGCTGTAGCAGAAGTGAGATCCTTTTCGAGCTCAGATGCCCCCTGCAAGCAATCAGAGGGAGTTGGCTTCTTATCGTGACAAGAATAAATGGTAGTATCATCAGCGAACAATGCCACCTTAGATGTGAGAATATCTGGAAGATCGTTAATTTAAATTAAAAAGAGTATAGGGCCAAGGATTGAACCTTAGGAACCCCTGAGGTTACAGAATAAGAAGAAGATTGCTGTCCATCGAGGACAACTTTTATACTATGATTGGAAAGGAAGGATTCAATAATCTTAAAGATGTTTCCAGATACACCGTAAGAAGAAAGCTTATGGAGAAGACCAGCATGCCAAACTTTATCAAACGCTTTAGAAATGTCAAAAGCGATGGCCTTAACCTCTCCACCTTTATCTAATGTGCGATAAGACCTATTGTTTATTACTGATAGCAAATCAGCTGTAAAACGAGAAGATTGAAATCCATATTGATGATCAGAAAGTAGGTTATGAGATTCGAGATGAGAGATTAAGTGTTTGTTAATTAAAGGTTCAAAAACCTTGCTTATGATAGGAAGAAGACTAATGGGACGGTAGTTAGACGAATCAGATCGGACGGAGAACACTTCGGCGAGACTATAACGAGTATGTTGTCCAGGCCGCAAGCTGTAGAAGATTCTAAGCAGGAAATCACTTTAGATACAGAAGCTGGAGTGATACGAATGTCAAGCAATGGATCAAGCTGTTTGACAGCTATATCAGGTAGAACGCAACTAGTGGCATCAAGAGATGATATTGATAAAAAGTTCTTGGCAAACAATTCAGCTTTGTCTTTAGGTGAGGTGACAAAGTCTGAACCATACAAAAGAGGTAGAATTACAGACTTGCCCTTATTATATCCAATATATTTGTAGCCTTTACATCAAAGATATGTAGCTTCATATCAAAGATATGTAGCCTTCATATCAAAGATATGTAGCTTTCATATCAAAGATATGTAGCCTTCATATCAAAGATTTGTAGTCTTCACATCAAAGATATGTAGCTTCATATCAAAGATATGTAGCCTTCATATCAAAGATATGTAGCCTTCATATCAAAGATATGTAGCCTTCATATCAAAGATATGTAGCCTTCATATCAAAGATATGTAGCCTTCATATCAAAGATATGTAGCCTTCATATCAAAGATATGTAGCCTTCATATCAAAGATATGTAGCCTTCATATCAAAGATATGTAGCCTTCATATCAAAGATATGTAGCCTTCATATCAAAGATATGTAGCCTTCATATCAAAGATATGTAGCCTTCATATCAAAGATATGTAGGTTTCATATCAAAGATATGTAGCCTTCATATCAAAGAATAACTTTTCATATTTTCATTGCTACAATTAAATCATTCTCTTTATAAGAATTGATTTTAATTTTTAACAATTTAGCTTGTAACAAGTTTTTGTGAAATTATTTTTTAAGGTATGACACTTAGAATTTCAAACTTTAATTTATTTTATTTTTTTATTTACTAATGTTGCTATTCAATAAGAAATTTTAATATTTGTGCATAGTTAATGGCATTATTAGCGTATTTTTAAATTTTTTAAAGAAAAAGTAAAAAAAAAAAACAACAAATAAAATATCAAATGAAATAAATTTTTAAATGAAGAAAAAAAAAAAGGAAAAAAAAAAACAGAAAAAGAAACAGAGTTTGCAAATAAGGGAAAGAAAAAAAAAAAAAGAAAAAAAGAAAAACACATAAAAATATTGAAAGTCAACAACAACAAAAACAACAAAGAAAAGTAGAAATTTAAGAAAAAAAGTCAAAAGTAATTTAACAATAACAACAAAAAAAAAAAGATCTCAAATTAAGGGAAAAAAGTTATTTTTCACGTTAATATAAATTTCAAATAAAAAACAAGCAGTAGAAAAAGAATGTTTTTATAAGTGTTTTTTGTTTTATTTACTGGATCAATCTATTGTAATAGATTTAATTCATGACAATTTTGTAATCAAATAATAATTCTTTTTTTTTTATCATTTCTATTTTTTATTAGTTTTTTTTGTTATTATTTGTCCTGTTTCTTTAATTTAGTTTTGACTATTGTCTTTAATTACTTTCTTTAAATAGCTCTCTTCTATCATCTCTAAATACTGTTATTGTGTTGTCATTATTATTATTGTTGTTGTTATTATTGTCATTATTACATTAATTAGCGTATATTATGTCACTCTTAATATAACTTTTTTGGTAAAATTTTATTCCCTTCTTTTTTCTATACTTAAATTATTTTGCTGTAATTTTGTATACTTTTCTTCTTAATATTATTGCTACTATTTTCAAAATATATATGATTGATATAAGCAGAAGTTATTTGATAAGATGGTATGTTTAGTGGTCAAACAAAATGCAGTGTTTAGAGTTGTAAAGAAAATGGTTAGAAATATATGGGTGTTGTTGGAGAAGGCTGTATTAAAAGGTTAGATGTAAAATACTTACAATTGATGTTGCGGTAAAAAAAAATGGTGGGTGGATTATGTTTTAAAATGAATAGCTAAATTAAGAGTTTTATTAGTGGACCAGCAGAGCTAATAACCTTTAGTGAAATGAAGTCAGCTATTTAGAGTACTCATTCAGGCAAAGCTGCTGGTTAATTAGATGTATTGGATGAGACGTTGAAGACTTCTGGGAATGCATTTAGGGAATTACCTTCGTGTCCAACTGCATTGCAGTTATACATGAAGGAAAAATCCCTAATGGTTGGAAAAAAACATTGGGTGGTTAAGATTTATGGGGGCAGACACAGGCTAGAATGTAGTTCATGTTGAGGAATATAATTGCTTGACCAGGTAATGAGATTTTTACAAAGAATTTTATGCTAAAGATTTATTATGGTGTATTTATTGGTATCATGCAGTTTAGTTTGAAATAGTTTAATTTCCCATGAAAGGGAATTTACAGTTATTTATTGAAAGGCCATTTCAAAAAAGATTTTTGGAAAAAAAAACAAATATGTATTAAAAAAAGTACTTTGTTACTGACAAATGGTAAAGTAATACTTTTTGTTGTTTGATCTTTTGATTGTTTAGTTATTTTGTGTAGCGTTTTAGAAATTTTTATACTTAAGTATTGTTTTGCTGTATTAATTTTTTTTATTTATTTCCCAGATATTTGTGGGAATAATATACCTTTTAAATATAGGTAGGGTAATTAGATTTCTTTCTATAGGTATTTTGTTAAAACAATTTTATAATGTATGAAAATTTTTTCCTTGTGGTACCATGTATTTATACTTAAAAATAAGATTAAATCCATTTTTTTTTTTTTTTTTTTTTTTTTTTTAACATCTTCACTTCCAACAAGGCTGCAAGCAACCACTATAAGAGTTGGAAGTTACTGGAAGAGAAAAGACTAAATCTGTAGAGCAAGATAACGATTGACTGATGACTTAAAAGATTGCAAATTATATGAATCAGGAAAGCAAGATGAAGGAAGCGAATTCCAAAGAACTGATGTTCGAGGAAAAAAACTAGAAGAATAAGAGTTTTTGAAGCACTTAGGAACAGTCACAGAGAAAGGATGAGACTTAATTGAATGGCGAGTAACACGAGAATGAATTTTAGTAGATGGCACAAGGGACGCTAGCTCTTTAGAGCAGTGCCCATTATAGTATTTGTAGAAAAGAGAAAGAGAAGCAACATTACGACGATGAGACAAAGGTTGGAGATTGGCTGCCAGAGCAGGTCCAACTATGTTTACAATTCGTTTTTGCACCTTGTCTAAAAGAGAAAGAGCATCATTAGAAGATCCGCCCCAGATGTGGCAACAGTATTCCATACAGGGACGGATTTGAGATATATAGAGATAGAGAATAGAATCTGGAGTAAGAAAGTGTCGAGCTCGATAAAGAGATGCAACCTTAGCAGATGCTAATTTTGCAATGGATTTGATATACGGTTTAAAAGAAAGATCAGAAGTAAGAGTTAATCCTAGAAGATGAATGGTAGATGACTCATCTAGTACATTACCATTCATAAATATAGGAAGATCTAAATTATTACGATAACGATTGGCCGAATAAAATTGAGTTTTATCTGAATTAAAGTTCACCAGCCACTGTGAGCCCCAAGCTGTAGCAGAAGTGAGATCCTTTTCAAGCTCAGATACCCCCTCCAAGCAATCAGAGAGTGTAGGCTTCTTATCATGACAAGAGTAAATGGTAGTGTCGTCAGCGAATAATGCCACCTTAGATGTGAGAATATCTGGAAGATCGTTAATGTAAATTAAAAAGTATAGGGCCAAGGATTGAACCTTGAGGAACCCCTGAAGTTACAGGATGTGAAGAAGAGTGTTGTCCATCGAGGACAACTTTTATACTACGATTGGAAAGAAAGGACTCAATAATCTTAAAGACGTTACCAGCTACACCATAAGAAGAAAGCTTATGGAGAAGACCAGCATGCCAAACTTTATCAAAAGCTTTAGAAATGTCGAGTGCGATAGCCTTAACCTCTCCACCTCTATCTAATGCACGGTAAAACCTATCGGTTATTACTGTTAGCACATCAGCTGTAGAACGAGAAGACCAAAATCCATATTGATGATCAGAAAGTAAGTTATTTGATTCAAGATGAGAGATTAAGTGTTTGTTGATTAAAGATTCAAAAACCTTGCTTATGACAGGAAGAAGACTAATGGGACGGTAGTTAGATGAATCAGATCGCTCTTTGGAATTTTTGAAAATAGGGATAACAGATGCTGCTTTCCAGCATGATGGAAAACAAGACTCTGATAAGCACTTGTTAAATAGTTTAGAAAGTATGGATGAAAGCTCCGGAGAACACCTCTGCAAGACTACAACAGGAATGTTGTCAGGACCACAAGCTGTTGAAGAGTCTAAGCAGGAAATTACTTTAGATACAGAAGCTGAAGTGATGTGAATGTCAAGCAAGGGATCAACCTGTTTGATGGCTATGTCAGGTAAAACGCAACTAGTGGAATCAAGAGATGATATTGATGAAAAGTTCTTAGCAAACAATTCAGCTTTGTCCCTAGGTGAGGTGACAAAGTCTGAACCATACAAGAGAGAAGGAATAACAGATTTGCCCTTATTATTGATACTGTTAAAGATTCTCCAGATGTCTCGAGAGCCTAATTTTTGTGATGAGATACGAGATTTAATGACCTGGGAATAGCGAGCTTTGGCGTCAGACAAAACCTTTTTACAATGGTTTCTGGCGATAGTGAACAGATGTCTGTTTTCTGGAGAATTGTTTTGCTGATAGATATGGAAGTAACGGTTTCGATTAGAAATTGCTGCAGCGCAATGTGAGGAAAACCAAGGAGAAGAGTGAGGCTTGACCTGGAATCGTCGAGAGGGAATAAAAGATTCCATGCCAGCCTGAATCCACGAAGTTATGTAAGAAGCACATTTGTCAGCAGGAAGACGGAAGATTTCTACCCAAGGGCCATCACGAAGAAAATCACGGAAAGAGTCCCAGTCAGCTTTAAGGTAGTTGTATGTGGTACGGTGATAGGGGGATTCTGATGAAGTAGAAGAATTTGATAATAGTTTTAGAGAGATCAAACCGTGATCAGAAGTACCTAAGGGTGAATGTGGAGAAATTGAGCACTGACTAGGATCCAAAACAAGACATAAGTCGAGTAGAGAAGGTAAATGATTAGGGTTGTCTGGAAAACGAGTTGGAAAGTTGACTATTTGAGTTAGAGATTGAGAAAGGCAAAAGTTGAGGGCCTTAACGCCAGCAGAGTCACTGACACTAGAGCCAAGCCAATCGGTGTGATGGGCATTAAAGTCACCAACAACGACGATATTGGCCGATGGATAAAGAGAGAGGGCTTGGTCAATTTGATCAGAAATAACATCAAGAATAGTGCAATCTTGGGATGAAGGAGAGCGATATAGAACAAAGAGAAAGGCGATAGAGTGAAGTTGTGCTAAACGAAAGCACATAAATGAATAGTCTGTAGATTCAAACCTAGTTTCACGACAAATGGGTGAGTTCTTATGAATATAGATGCCCAGGCCAAGCATGTGATTATTGGAGTCTTTACGAATTAAAGGAAGATAACCATCAACACTAAGATCACAAGATGGGACAGCCGAACTCAAATTAGTCTCACAAAGAGCAAGTAGGTCTGGTGAACTTTGCAAGAGATAAGACTCAACAGAAGAAAAGTTACTTCGAAGACCACGAATATTAGTAAATGATAGGTTTAGAGAACTTGGTGATGATTTTCTGATAAAATGCGCACAACTTAATTTTGTAAAAATATTAACTAATATATTTTATTAAAAATATCATTTAAGGAAAAAGGAAACTATATATTTGAAACTTTTATTCTAAGAAAAAGAAGAAAAGATTTAAATTTTTTTTTAATGGCATAAGTTTTAACATGCTTTTTCAAACCATAAAGGCTTTTCAAACCTCATTTATAAGATAATAAACAAAAACCTTCAAAAGTTTTTGGTTATTATCATATAAATAAAGACGCATATCAATGTGTTTTATTTAAAATGTATTTTATGGGTTATTTAATGTTGATACATATATTGCATTATTATATATTATAAACGTTTAAAAATATATAACATGTATTTTTCTTTTTAAGTTGTACAGGGATGGGTAGTTTCAAAAAATACCCCAAAATTTAGAGTCAATTGTATAAACTGGGCTCTGTATATCTCCTAAAATATTTTCCCCTGCATTCTGTATATCTCCTAAAATATTTTCCCCTGCATTCTGTATATCTCCTAAAATACTTTCACCTGAATTCTGTTTATCTCCTAAAATATTTTCACAAGGGTTCTGTATATCTTTCAAAATATTTTCACCTGGATTCTGTATATCTCCTAAAATGTTTTCACCTGCATTCTGCATATCTCCTAAAGTATTTTCACCTGAATTCTGTATATCTCCTAAAATATTTTCACATGGATTCAGTATATCTTCTAAAGTATTTTTTAACTACTAAACTTATAGATCATAGAAATAAAAAATGAGATTTTAGAAATCCCATAATCAATAATTTTTATCTGAAATTTTATAGTTACAAATATACATAGGCCTCATTGTTCAAAAAGGATAGGTTTTGGCTTTTAAAGTCCTGTGATTTTTCCCCTATTGAGTTTATAAGTGCTAAAACATGATACTCTACAGGGTCCTGATAAAAATAATTAATATCTAATTTTAAATCCTATAGTTTTTTTTCTGTGGCACCCCATTCCTAATTTTAAAATATAAAGGTTATATTGTGTTTGATGTTTGTTTTTTTATTTATTATTAGTGATACAAAATCAAGTTACACAATCTAAACATATGTCTGGAAATGATTCGGAAATCAATAATAATAATGCCTATGAATGCTGTAACAATTATAAAAGAGGTAAAAACATGCAACAAAAAGCTTAGTTTTGAAAATTTATACAAAATAATTCAGTAAAAATAAAATTTTTTCTTTGTAAATATTTAAAAGGTCTTTTTTTTTATTCAAGAAGGGAAATTTTTATGATTTTTTAATCCAAATTTTAACTCTGATATAAAACCTTCAGATAATTTGAGCATGTTAATTAGAGTTCTAAGGTGGAGTTTAAATCAAGCATAATAAGATTACATTTTGCAGCACTATAATTTGTTTATATTTTGTAACTTTATAACTTTTTGTAGCTATATCTGCTTAATTTTAATGATTTTTGGATGAGTGCTTTTTTAAGACATTTTATGTTTATAATGTTCACAAAAGGTAAGGATCTACTACATTACTACATCTTACATAAAGTTATATTAATCTATTGTTGACTTATTGTATTGTTATTGAAGTCTTTAAACTTTTACTTATTTCATTACTAACAAATTTAATTTATTTTGTGTACAGATCTTTTTTTATTGCAAATTATTTATACAGGTTAGTGAGGTTTTAAAAAAAGATAAACATGATTCTTTGACTTGCTTTTTTTTAAAAAATAAAATAAAAAAAAGCGTTAGAACAATTTTAATTTTTTTTAGGTTGACAATTTCAATTTACAATTCAAAAAACATATTTTTTTTTGTGAGTTCTTAAATAAACATTCAAAACAAGTATAAAAAATATTACTCTATCTGCCTAGTGTGAGAATACTTATGCGCTTGTATATATGTATGTATGTATGTATGTATGTATGTATGTATGCAGGGCCGGTGCGAGTAGGTGTCACATGATGAGGGGGGTGGTGCCATTCAACTTTTGCTGACTTTTGACTTTTGCAAAAAAAAAAAAAAAAAAGATCCTAGATTACCAAAATTTGCCGAGTGCCTTGACGACATTTGCCGACTGTCTAGATTACCGATTAACCTGTATTGAAAGGTTCGACATTTGCCAACTAACTAGTCTAAAGGGTCCAATTTGCTGACTAAAAATCATTGATGGGGGTGTGGGGGGTGTCACACCCCTTTGCACCCCCTATCGCACCCGCCTTGTATGTATGTATGTATGTATGTATGTATGTATGTATGTATGTATGTATGTATGTATATATGTATGTATGTATATATGTATGTATGTATGTATGTATGTATGTATGTTAGGGGGTTGACTTTTTCACAACTATTCTTGGGTATAGTGCCAAAATATGACATTCTACATTAGATTACCAATTTTAAAAGTTCTATTGACTTAAGTTACAAAAACGTAATTAGAAAAATATGTTTTTGTTTGAGAAGTACATAAAAATTGACAAATTAGTAGATAAATAACAATTTATTTTGACAAAATAACTTTCAGTTAAGCAAGATACAATTTAAAAGTTGTTTTGCAGAATAAATCTGTAGTTTATTTTGTCTATATCTCTTGCATGAATTTCTTGCATAACTTTTATGGCTCTTTTTGCACAAATATTGGATTTCTGACTTCCTTGTATTCTGCTGGGATCAAGTGACCAAAATCTTTTTAAGGTCTTCATGGCTGAAGTTGAAGTTATTGCTTGTTTTAAATTTTTGAAATCATTTTCTGAGTATTGGATGTCAGAAAACCAAATATTAGACCAAGTTGATGCAATGAAGTTGCAATTCAAGCACAATTGATTATTATCCGATTCAGTTAAAATAAAAGCCAGAAGGGCATAGATTGCTCTTGAATTTCATCTGGCATTGTGCAACGATGGGAAACTTTTGAAGTTTATAGCTGGAAACTGCCATTCACCTTCATGTATCGGTAACTTTGTACCAAGTCAAACAAAAAATCCTTGTTGTATTTTCATTTATTAGTCTTCACTTTACAAATTTGTTCACCTTGCTTGAAACTTGACTTCAAATTTTCATAATTTTTTTTTGCAGGTTTTCAATAAATTTGTAATGTAATTCTGGCAATTTTGGCACTCTTTCGTTAAGAATTTCATTAATAGTATGTTTCAAAATTGTGTCCAACACATGATGCTGACAACTAATAAATTGAAATGGTTCAAAATTTTTTCTTTCAAATTCTCTTTGCAGTTGAATTACAACTCCATTTCTACTCCCAGTATTCACACTTGTAGTATCAGGTATTATAACTTTAATACTACTCCATAGTTGAAATTTATCCAACACTTCAACTATTCCACTGTAAATAATAATAGCTTTCCCATCATCTAGTAAAAATCGCTAGTTTCACCTTCTTTTCTGCATTTTTTAAAACCAATACTTGATACTTTTTCTCTGACATTCTTTTACCGTCAAAATGCAACACTTAATTCTCATATTTTAAATTACTTATCATGTGCTTTTCCATTTTTTGAGTTGCTGACACTGTAGTTCTATAAACCCCAGATTTAGATGGGGCTTGTACATTGACACCACATTCAGATAAATTTTTGCAAACTTCTGCTAATTTCCTAATACTTAGTTTTGACTTCTTAACTAAGTTAACAGCAACAATGATGTTCTCATATTTTCTCTTAACTTTTTTGTCTGGAGGAATATAATTAGAATCTTGTTCATCATTTTGTTTATTACCTTCTTCATTGTTGTCACTAACCTCTACTGTATCTGTTTCAGGTGTGCTAGGTCTCTTCCTGCCAGCCTTAGATGGATGTACTTTAACAGTTTTTGATGTACAATAACCAACTTGACCATTAGTATCCACTTGTAAGAAATAAAATGCTTTGTCTTCGTTGCTAAGCCAGTTACCATTTACTTTAGTTATATCAAATAAATAATCCCACTTTTCTGCAAGACATTGTTTAGATTTTTGAACTGAATGATATTTGTTAAAGAGAATTTCTACTTTTTTTGTTATAGTCCTTTCATTTATTTTTGGTAAACTAAGCCTGAGACATAAATCAGATAATTCTAGATTTTAGTAAACACAATAATCACCTTGATTTGAATACAATCATTTTGACAGAAACAATTAAAGATGACACTTGCAAAGTATTTAGTATTTGATTATATATATATATATATATATATATATATATATATATATATATATATATATATATATATATATATATATATATATATATATGATTTTTTAAATAAATACAATAAAATTTTGAAAAAATTTAACAGAGTTGCTTGTGAGAACCAATAAAAAGTTTTAAGAATTTGAACAGATCTTTTTTAGAATATAAGGGGCGGCTGGGACACTCTAATATATATATATATATATATATATATATATATATATATATATATATATATATATATATATATATATATATATATATATATATACACACATATACTTTTAAATTCAGCTCATGTTTACGACTCAGACAGTGACAGCAAAATAAAATTAAAGAAGCCTCGAAAAATTTCTGAAGGGGAATATTCTTCAGGTTTGATTTTAAAAAGTATTGTACAAATGCAAAATTATACAAGTAACCAACATAATAGTCAGTTGTCGTATAGTAATCCAGAAAACAGTTTACCAGCATTCACAAATAAAACTGATGATATTCCAATATATATGAAACCTTGCAATGAATCAAAATTACATTCCTTAGAAGAAAAAACAGTTGAATTGCACTTAGGACATTCTACAATTAATTGCAACAAAGAAACTTCGAAAGAATTGCACTTAGGACATTCTACAATTAATTGCAACAATGAAGATTCAAAAGAAATAAATAGAACAAACAGTGAGAAAGAATTAATGGCATTAGTTGCTGGAGAAAATATAACAGCTGATGGTGAGATATTTGTTTGTTTTATTATATATTTTATATTAGGTTATTTTCAATTAAAAGATATTATTACAAATTTGTTTCAGGCCTTGTTTTAATGCATTTTTTATAATATGTTTATATATACACTGTTTTAGTTATGCAAAAACTATTTTATTTAGAATATTTAAATTGCTAAAAAATGACGTTTCTTCAAACATTTAAATTTTAAACATTTTTATTGTTAAGTATTGTTTTTTAATCTGTGTTGTCATAACATTTGTTTTGACTTTGATTAAAGCAAGTAATTCAAGTTTAACATTAATTCAACAGGGTTGGACAGGAATGGCGTGTGATTGCATGCTATAACTGACCACGTTTGTGATTTTTTTTCTTTACAATTTGACCATGGCTGTTTTAATGTTTTAACTATTTAAATGCAATAAAAAAATCTTTGTTATGAATAAATTTTAATCGTTGATCTTTTCTAAAGTTTTTATTTTAGGCGAAGACTTTAAATAAATTAAAAATTAATTATAATTAGGTATAATGATTCATAATGCGTTTAAAATAAACACATTTTGTTTAAATTAAAGTTATATTAGATTTATTTTTTGTTGGCATGTATTTTTAAAATAAATTTAAACATTTGAAATTGTTTTTCATGTTTTTAGAAATAAAAATCTTTTAAAATATTATTTTTTTAAGTTACTTTAAATTCTGAATAAGTTAAATTAAAATCTTCCCGTTGCAATGCAATGAATTAATTGTTTTTTTTTTTTCCTATTTTTACAAAGAATTGTTTAACAGCTTTTTTTTTTTATACTTGTCTAATGAAATAATTAAATGTTACTATTTTAAAATAACTACATTATTATTTTAAAAAAAAATTTTTTTTGCAACTTTTTAAAAAAAATATTTATACAGTTTAAAAATATTATATTTTTTTCTTTTCAATAATTTTACTTTACAATAATTTAAATAAAATTTGTTCATTTATTAAACAATCATTAGAAGTAATTTTTTAAAGTGTTTTGCTTAACTTGAATAAAACGTTTCCAAAGATAAATTTTAAAGAAATTTATTTCAAGCGCAATTAAAAACGTAAAGAAAAGTAATTTTTGCTTCGAGTTTGAGTTTTGTTTTAAAGCTTATATATTTTTTATTCGTAAGGAGTTGTATATTTTCTGTAGTGTTTTTATTTATTTTTTCCTAGTTTAATTAAACAAAGTAAAAATACTAAGCTAAACTTAATTAAATGCTAAGCTAAACTTAATTAAGTTTAGCTTAGCTTTTTTTTTTTTTAGTGCATTTCTGAAATGTTAAAATCATCAAAACACCTTAACACTCATGGTCAAGTTGTCAAATAAAAAAAAATTTGCGTGGTCAGCAATAACGTTCAATTGCATGCCATTCCTGTCCAAGCCTGATTCAAGTTTTTGTATAGTTTATATAGTATTTTTTTTATTATCAATATAATATAGAATTATCGATTCAATTTAAGGTTTGGGTTGGGTCAGCAATAAATTTTTATTATTTTCTATTATTTTCTTCTTTTTGCAAAAAAATAAGAAAGTTATAAATTAGAAAATGATAAAAATAAAACCAATGAATCTAAGAATTGTCATTATATTGCTATAAATCAAATGAACAAAAAATACTATAAACTTCAAAATTATGTCAAGTAAAAATAGTTTTGAAAAAAATCAAATTGTAAAAAAACTATATTTAATTTAACAAAATTATTCTAAATAAAGTAAAAATAACCTACTTAATCTTGGTCCAAAATTTATCCCATTATCAAAGTATATCCTACATACAGAGGTTATCACTAATATCAAAACTTGCATCCTAGAACACATAGACAAAACTTTCACCAATTCGTTAAAAATGAAATTAAGAGGTAATTTAACAAAACAAAAATACTTTTCTTTACACTAAAAAAATCTAATGGTGATGTCAGTTAAATTATTCTGCAAAAAAAAATGGTTCTCATGTTCTTTGATACACAAATGTCACCATCATGATGGTTGAGAACAACTCCCCCACTTCCCAGTTCATATTGAATTTTTGCTTTATTGATTTCAAGTTTTTTATTTTTTTAATCTGATTTTTTAATGGGTTTTAAAAAAATTTTTTGAATTTTTCAATGGATTTTTTAAAAGATGCTTTATTAAAAGTTCTAAATTCTCACCAATTTGTTAAAAGTGAAATTTCTTATTTTCACAAAACAATTATTTTATAAAATGATCACAAAAAATTTTTTTTTACACAACTTCAAAAAGCACATTTTAGGTTATATCCATTTTATAAAGAAACAGGTTTTGCTTTATTATACAAAAATGGAGCATAAAGTAAATTTGAAGAACAAATAAAAAGTAGCAAAATTATTGATTACAACCCAACACCTACATTCTTTTTTTTTTTTAAATTAAGATTCTGCGAGGGAAAATTTTTGATCTTTTTTGTTTTATTTATTGTGAAAGTTTGCGTTATATAATTTATGGATGATCCCTAGTGCAATATTTGACGACATAAAATTCTCTTTATTTTTTTATTTTTTAAAGACATTAACTTTTTTTAATTACTGCAATAATATTAACTACCAAAAAGTAACCCGTAATACAGGTTTTGGTCGGTCTGTTACATAATTAATTTATAGTGGCTGTTTTCCACACTTTAATGTTGCAAAACCTTAACTAATACCCTTTTAGAAAATCGCTTTCAGCTTGAAAAAATTAATACATCTGTAAAATTAACATAAAAAGTATGAGGAGGTAAAATAATTTATCAACTACTACTTAACATTTACAATTACTACTTAACATTATTTGAGTAATTTACAAATGGCATAGGTCATAACAGTGCAAGGCAGAACCATTTTCATCAACCTTCCTAAGTTTAACACAATACGTTTTTAGTTACTGACACAAAATAATAACACTTCGTCATGCTTTAAATTGACGAAAGTATCAACTAAATCCTTATAATAATTTTTATAACACGAACCATTAAAATTAAATTAACTTAAGTAAATTAAACCATTAAAATTAAATTAAGTTAACTTATATTATACAGGAGTTATCAATTTTTTGATAACTCCCCTTATCCCCTTGATTAATTTTTCTTTAGAAAAGAAAATTGTTAACTTAAAAATGTTAAATGCACACATTTGAATAAATTTATCAAAAATAACTAAGTTTATTATAAATAACTAAGCAACTGAGTACAAATACGTATCAAACAAAAAAAATTTAATTTACGATCAAACATGGGTATAACAAATTTGAAAAAATATGTAAACTTAATGCATTAATGCATCATATGACAAACGTAAAATAAAAATTATAACAGATAAGTAGACATAAAAATTTGTAAACTAAGCTGACCCGACCCGGGTCTTGTTAAGTCTGTTCAACACAGACCATTTCTATATTATTTGTTTGGCCTCTTTATTTCATTAATTTTTAATAAATGGTAATTTGCCACCATTTACTAAAAATTCCTTTTGTAACTCGAAATTTAATTTTTCTAAATAATTTGACTCTAATAAAGAGGTTCCTCCCCTCTTTTTGCTTTAATGGTGGCCAGGTGAGTAGAGTTTTTTTTTATTAAGAGTAATCATGTTTTTGATGAAGACCTTTTACCAAAAAAATAAAATGTAAAGCAATGATCTACATATATACAAATGTTTTCTTTCTTTCCTCAAAAGTGTTGCAAGTACAGACTAAGCTAACTAGTTAGTTAAACACATAAATAAAACTTAAGTAACTCGATATTAATGCGCAAAACTAGAATATTCTCCATGTTTTTAAAGGTTTTTAGTTACGACCCCCCATTTACAAAGATCCCCTTTAAATATATACAACAAATTATTAGGCATAAAACAGATAAAATATAAAATTAACTAATAGCATATATTTACATCTTTTTAACTAACAAAAATTTACAATAAAAAGAAATCAGGTTTTTTCATTTTATAAATCTTATAAATGCGTCATAACATAAATCTAAAATAAAAAAGTAATGAAATTATGATATCATAATTACAAAGATAAAAAAAAAAACCACCACACAATTACCGAAAATCAATTTACCTATTTATAGTAACTTATTTTGAAATTGCAGTTAAAGATTTATCGAAAAGTAACTATAAAATCTGTTTCGAAGTACAAAAGCATTAACAATACTAAAAAAAAAATCAAACTAAGATATAAATTGTTGTCTTGGATTTTATAATTTAAACATATATACAACTATAAACAAATACGACTTTATGTAACACATATAGATAGATATAACACATATAGATAGACTTTATGTAACACATATAGATAGATATATTTATCAAAAACTATGAAAAAAAAAAAAAAATAATGATAAATAAAGTTATACATACAAAATGTGCTCACAACCTTTAACAGTAAATTTTCAAAATGAAAATCTAAAGACTATAAATTAAGAACATTAAAAAATATAACATTATTTATTTTACATTTTTTTACCTACTATACCTTGAATAAGATGTTTATCAATTTTGAAAAACAAACTATTAAATGCTTTAGTTCTTGAAAATGCAGCATATAGTTGACCATGAGAGAAACACGGTCTTTGAGATATTTCTTTTGTCTATATGCTTAATTTTGCGTTACGTAATATATAGACGATCCCTAAAAGAAAATACTTGAAACTAAAAAGATTTTATTTATTACAATATTTGAACAACCAAGGGACAATTTAAAGAATTATATCTTTAAATAGCAAGCAACTCGTTATTATATCTTATAAACCGTCATTATCAATTGCAGTATTAAAAAATACGCAAGAGCCCAGTAATTACATGAGTTTAATCAATTCTCCCTCTACAATTCTCAATACTAATTCTTATTTAAGTCTCATCTAAAAGAGAGAGGAAGTGTTTCAAAAACAGCATGTTAGAAAAAGTAAAAAAGTCATGCAATAAATAACAGTAACTGGTTTATTACTAGTTATTTTATAACTGGTTTTATTATGCTACCAATAAACAAAATTATTTTTACCTAATTAACTAAAAGTTAATTTCCAGCATTTCTTAATTAAGTTCCAGCTTCTCTCTAACTTTTGACAAATGATTAATATTGTAAATTTCACATCATATTAAATTTACAAAATTAAAACCATGTTTCAACAGTAAGTAAAATAATCAAGTGATGACAAAGACAGCTAAAAAAAAAATGAACACAATTATGTTTAAGATTACAAAAAAAAAAAAAAATTAAAATTATTTAAAATTGAAACTATTATTATTTGTTACTATAAATAGTAAAATTCATACTTTGCTTTGTTTTAAAGTGTCTAATGTAAAATCAAATAATAGACATCAACACCGCTTGACACTGAATTCTGGCAAGTAAGTTTTCTGTTCATCAAGCAAAATTTCTTATATTTCAACGACAATTAATTTTATCACACCTAGATCTATTTCTTTCATATGACAACAATTTCAAGTCACCTATAACCTATTTTCATTTAGCAAAGAATTTAGACTACCATGAAAAGTTATTTTTACCTTCAGGCACAACCTTAATACACAAAAATAATAAATGCAGAATCTTGTATAAAAAATGAAGCAATGTCAGTCTAAAGTTATATATATGTATGTATGTATATATATTCAAATTTTTTCTATTCTTTATAATTTTTTCTTTGAGATAATATTTATATAGATTCAGAGAAATATAAAATATACTGATATATAGGCACATTTATGTATATAAACTTACTTGTCAAAAATTACAGTCAGCTTTCCATGTTAAATACATAAAATATATATCTAATATAAAATAAATCTAATATAAAATAAAACAAAATATTAAACTTACTCAAATCAGTAACACTTCGACTGTCTAAATATTTTTATTATAAACCCTTCTATTTAAAAAAAGAAACAATTGATTTGAAGTGACTAAAAAGCACTTTACCTCTTTCCAATTGCACTAAAAATAAAACACATCTTGCTTTACTAAGTTGCCTAGTTCTTAAGAACCTGAAAACAAATAAGTAAAAAACCAAGAACAAACAAACATTTATTTATTAAAACTACTCTATTTAAACAAATTAAACTGACCCATCATTTATGTGCATTTATTTTTTAGTCATTTTAGTTGTTCCAAAAATATGCGCCACAACAGAGGTACTGCTGCTCAAATTATTTTCCTAGAATAGCCCCTGTATATACATATATATATATATATATATATATATATATATATATATATATATATATATATATATTTTTTTTTTTTAATTGTCCTAGTTGTGAGACTAAATTGTCAAACTTAAGTTTTGGTGAAAGCAACTTACCTATGGTAGGGAGTCTCAGACATAAAATGCCCAGATGATTTTTGTGTAAGGGTAGGAGTATCTTTTAAACGTTTGTAATCTTTCTAGTGATTGTATTGGACTTGATATAACCTGAAATTTTTTTAGATGCTTGAAATAAGCAACTTTTAAGCATGAAGAAAACTTAAAACTTGAGTATGTTCATATCAATAATAAATTTGCAAATCTTTTGCAAAAAATTGATGTGATTGAGATTTAAAACAAAAGTACCCCTCGAAAAGTTTTGTTGTTTGAGGGAGGTTTAAATTTAACATAGTAATTATTTCAACCACTTAGAGATTAAGTTTAAAATCTGTTGATGAAGTCTAGTTTATAATTTAAAAAAGTATTAGTTTGATTTTTCCCCTGTATTCTGGGTAGGAAGGCTTACATTTTAAGGGTTTTGTTGTTTCCTATCTCAAATAACTGCTATTTTATGTAAAACATGCACACTTATCATTGATATAATATACAAAAATATCCTTTGATTTAAGAAGTACACACATATTCAGGCATATTATATGTGTACATATTCATATGTAAACACACTTAATATAGTTTTTAATAGCTTATTAATAGCTGATACAGTTTTTAATTTTATAATTATTTTATGTAAATGTATATTATATTATCTATTTTTCTTTATATGCAGAGCTGTGTAAAGACTTAAATTTCTCCGATCTTCGAAATTGGGTTGACAATGAATCATGGTACACAGATCAGTATCTAAAGTATTTCAGAATAAATCCTTCACATTTATACAGTACTGTTGCACATGTGCTATAACATTGTTTGGTTTTAACTGGTTTTATTACACTTACACATACACTTTTGTTATAAGTATTAAACAAAAATCTTATAAATAAAATTGTTTTAAAAGTTTAATTGTAAGATTTTTATTAGAATTTTTTTAGCTATATAATTTGATGTTTTAAACATTAAATAAATTTTTTTTGTCTGAAAAACAAGTTTTTCTGGTTTTTATCCATGATCAGTGCCTGTATTAGGACATATAAAACCCTTGACTTTGTTATGAACCCAATAGAAATGGATAAGTTTTTTAAAAGAGGGTGTTTAGGACTGGTTTTTCTTATAACTTCAATCTCTATATCTGTAGTACCAGCACTGTTTAGGATATTCCTACAGATATTTTTTATAGAGCTGTGATTTTATTTAAAGGTAATATGTAAATACTTGAATGTATTAATATTTTTGTAAAGGAATGTTTCAAGTTATAAATGTTTTTTTAACTATATTTATTTTAATGTTTTCATTTAATAATTTTTAATTATAAATTGCTTTAAATTTATGAAATCATAAAATCATAGGATTCTGCTAATGACATTTTTTTGCTACTTCTTTGTAATGTTGCTAATGAGATTTTGTAAACTACATATTCGAAATTGCAAATGTAACTAGTTAATTATCTCTATTTCCATTTAAAACTAGATCTGTCAATTAAAAGAAAATAATAATCAGTTTTAGTATATAGTCTATACTATAAAAATTTTAGTATATTAAGAATGTATATAGTCTATACTATAGTATATACTATAAAAATGTCTACTTCTGACTCCAGAGGGGTACCCGATTTTGTGCATATAATGAATCTATATTCATCTAGACACTGGATGTAATGAAAGTATTTTTTTTTTTTCTGTGAAAAAAAATGTTGTTTTTATGCATAATATTGAGCCTTTTACTTTCTATGATGTATTTTATAGTAGTTAATAATAATAGTAATGAATACATTAAATACATTTATAATTTACTGATTGTAATATATAAAAATCTCGTCCTTAAATTATGCTTTGTAAATTTCCAAAATTGTAAATGTTTTACTTTATTATTTCTGTTTCATTTCTTTTTTTATTTTTTGAAAACTTTTTATTAAAAAAACTTTAAAATATAAATTAAAAATCATAATAATTATATGATTGTAATAATTATGTAATATAATTGTTATAACTATATAGTTTTATATAAACTAAATTATAATGGGTTTAAAATATAATTATATAATTGATATTTATTGTATAGCATATAGAATCATGTAATACAAAATAAATAAAATCTAAATACTTTTGAAGTGGTATTTTTTTAAGAAACAATCTCAACTGTTTTTTAAATATTGACAAAAAGTTCTTTTTCAATATAACCTTACTCTACTGCAGAGTAAGGTTATATAGACAAAACAAACACTAAAAAATTGGTTAGGGTAAACTAAATACTGTTAAATAAGTTAAACTATATGTTACGATTTATTTGTTTTTTTAACTTTTATTATTTTGCTAAATCTAGAAAAAAATGATTTTATTCTTGTGACAGAATGGTACAAACTCAACTGCGTTCAGTTCATGATGAAGAATATTGTTTTTATCCGCTACCTTTAGAAGAATCTTGCCTTTTTTTAATTGCGAATTCTTTCTTAGAGCTCACATCTGAAATAAATGTGAAAGAAAAAAATGAGTTTAAAAAAATACGTTCTTTTACCCAAGGAATAAAAATTCCAGCCCGATTAGCTGAAAAGCTGCTTGAAGTTACATCATCTATGCATCCAACAATATCCAATGAGTCATTAAAGTTGTTTAGCAATTCATATCAATATAATTTAAAGCATTTGAAGTTGCCTAATATTGATATGAGAATATGTGGAACTAACTTGTTGAATTATTCAGTTTATCAATTTCAATCCATTGAGTTGACTTCAAACTTCTCAAATTTTTGGAACATTACTACACTTTTGCATTCATTTTCAAACAGTTACCAGACTCTCACCTCATTAAAGTTAGACCTGCACCCAGATGTTAGTATTACTTCAGGAACAATATTTGATTTTTTTGTAAAATTTCCAAACCTAGTTTCTTTGTATTACTACAGTCCTTCATGCAGTAGTAAAAATGTATTTACCAATCATAACTGGAATAGTTTGATGACATCATGTCCAGCATTACAAGTACTTCATATTTACTTCAATGAAGTAGTTGTTGATATTGAGTTGAACTCAGCAATATTTCTTAAAAATCTTTCTTTAAAAAGTTTAGTATTGTTTCCATTATTGAATTCAAGGAATCTATTGAGTTCATCAGATTGCATTAAAAATTTTTTATATCTGCACAATCTTCAAGAATTAGATTTATCTGTTGATATTGAACCTTCAGAATCAAACCGCATTGTGCTGGGTAATATAGATTTAAATGATCAATCATTCGAAAATTTACTTGAAACTTATGTAAATGAGTTTTTAAATATTGGATCTATACATTTAAAAATGTTAAAATCTCTTGATATATCAGGTATTTATAAATTAAATGATAATTATATAAAAACATTTATTGAATCCCACAAGAAACTTGTATTTTTGGGTTTATGTATGTCTCGATCAATGTTTTGCATTAATGGTGATGTTACAAGTGAATATAAACAATTAAAGGTATGTTTTTATGATATGATGCTATTTATGTCATTAATTAATAATATTTATTTTGAAATTTTTTTTTTAGAACAGTTTTTAATATTTTTATGCACACGCAAAGTTTTAAAAATATTTTTTGTACTGTTTATAAAATTTAATTAAGATAAATAAAATAGTGAAAAATAAAACTAGTGATTGCTAAATAATGATTTTATGTAGACCTAAGTCTGTAAAATAAAGTTTTGTAGCAGCACTTTGAATAATTTTATATAATCAAATATTTTTAACCAATTGAATACTAGTTAAAAACTTGACTTTTTTTAATAACTTTTATTAATAACTTTTTTTAAAAATAAATTTTCGGCTTTTAAACTAAATATCATACTCAATAACAACATGTTTGTAAGTTTACTTGACGTAAAAAGTAAAGCAAAATTATTTTATTTTTTGCAGATATCTGGTTGTATGCTGGAAGATCAGATTATTGTTTCACTTTTACGTTATACCAGGCGTCCAACTTACATAAAAGAAGTACTTAAAGGGTTATTTCATGTTTGCTCTGGATGGAAAAAGAGGAAACCCTATATTTTAAAGGTGACTTATAAATGGCTGCTTTTTCAATATTTTTAATTCTATAGGTTTATTTAGAGAGCTTATGAAAGCTAATGTTTAGCATGCATATTTAATGATTCAATAGTTAACTGTAGTTTTCCTTTGTTTTAGTTTCTTTAAAAGTTTAGATCAAGTATAATGTTTTTGGCTGATTTTAGTTAGGGTTTTATGATTTTATAATTAAAAAACAAATTAGTTATGCATATGATTAAATACAACAATAAAATAACATAAAAGAATAAATATATAGAGTTTCATTAGAATTAAGTCATACCTAAAACAATGCATAAGTAGTCATATCTTTAAATACTGAATGATTTTCTAAGTGTAGTAAAAAGTATGTAATGCTAAGAGAATAGCGTACTATTATATGAAATCTTGAAAAGTATTACAATAGTATCTTAATATATTAGTAAACAAAAGAAACTTTCACTATAATATTTGTTTTCAGCTACTATTGTTATAAGGGCATATTTTAGTGGATGGGCATATTTTAGTGGATGCGCATATTTTAGTGGATGGACATTAACAGTCTTACTGAAATTTTGAATTATTTAATCAAGTAATAAAGTTGTCAGGCATTTTGTATATAAAAATGTCCTATGATTTTGTGACTCAGTTCAAGAATCTAAGAATTCAGTCAGACAATGTTAGATCTATGTCTGTTAAAATATGTATAATTAAAATTATAATTATTATCAAAGTATAAATATACAAATAAGAAGAAGAATAATGCGAATTTCAACTAAATTTTAAAGATATATTTTATTACTTAATAATATCAAATACAGCTGGAAAGCTATGTAATTCAATAAATAATATCCAATACAGCTGGAAAGCTATGTAATTCAATAAATAATATCAAATACAGCTGGAAAGCAATATAATTCAATAAATAATATCAAATACAGCTGGAAAGCTATGTAATTCAATAAATAATATCAAATACAGCTGGAAAGCTATGTAATTCAATAAATAATATCAAATACTGCTGGAAAGCTATGTAATTCAATAAATGATATCAAATACATCTGGAAAGCTATGTAATTCAATAAATAATGTCAAGTACAGCTAGAAAGCTATGTAGTTCAATAAATAATATCAAATACTGCTGGAGAGTTATGTAATTCAATAAATAATATCAAATGCAGCTGGAAAGCTATGTAATTCAATAAATAATATCAAATACAGCTGGAAAGCTATATAATTCAATAAATAATAGCAAATACTGCTGGAAAGCTATGTAATTCCATAAATAATATCAAATACTGCTGGAAAGCTATGTAATTCCATAAATAATATCAAATACTGCTGGAAAGCTATGTAATTCCATAAATAATATAATAATCAATTTTTTATTAATAGTATATAAAAACTATGTTATTAATATTGGATGATGTATTTTGTTTTTTTTATTTTTATTAAGCCATATTATTAAAATTTACAGAAATGGATTTAAAAAGTTAAACGCAATAACAGTAGTAGTAATTTTAATAATATAATGATAATAACAATAACACCAAAATCAATCATGGTATTTTCATGAAATTGTCATTTCTGAACATAATTGGCATTTTTTATTAGATTTTACTGTGATAAAATCAATCTTGTTATTTTTCCTCCTGAATTTTAGTATTTTACCACTTGGAATGTTTACTACTTGAGTTTATCATTCTACCTCATGATCAGTTTTTTACAATGTGAGTTTTTAATAAATATTTTGGGTTGGCATTAAGATTTCTTGTCGAAACCAAAACCGACTGTCAATACATGAACTTTGTGCCTGTTCTGAAATTTTCAAAATAAAGCAGAATAAAAAATGTAAACGATTTCATGTTTTTATATGACCACGCAAGTTACATTTTGCTATGACGATTTGACCACGGCTAATTCAAAAAACATTTTAGAAACGCGCTAAATAAAAAATATTCTATAAAAGTGAAATTAATTACATCAAAACTTCTTAACAAATGTTTTTATATTAGCGAAACGATTTTAAATAAAGTAACAATTTACTGAAAAAAAGTTTTGTTTTTTAAATATAATTGACAGTTGTATATATTTTTTTAATTTAAAACATATGAGTTGTTTAAGTGTTCATTTCTAAAATGAATCTTATTAAAAAATAAAAAATTGTTTTGTTTTTATAAACGATGACATTCTACAACTACGAAAGTCTCTTTAACGAATTTAAATATAAGAATGATTAAAGTAATTGCATTTAAAAAGATAAAGAAAATTTCGTTAAAAAAAAAAAGTTTTAGAAAACCGTTACAATTTAATAAGTTTGATCTTAAATGCTTTTATATTATCAAAACACTTTTAATGAAGTAAAAAAAAAAACACTTCTAATTAATTTAAAAAAAAGTATTTATAAAATGTTTTTTTATTTTATTTATATAACTATGTATTTTTTACGAGAAATATTTAACTTTTGAACATATTAAACAAATAAAAAAATATATAAAAATATTAAAACAAAGATTGAAAAGGTTTTTTAATACGTAAATTAAATAGACTAAGCATTTTAGTTTAATGAGTTTTGTTTTAGTTGCGTATATATATATATATATATATATATATATATATATATATATATATATATATATATATATATATATATATATATATATATATATATATATATATTTGTGTTTTTGCTTTAACTAAGTATTTTTTTTTATTTTCTCTTTCGTTAATATTTATTATTTTTTTAAATTTTTTTTTCAGATAAGTTTAGGTAAGTTTTTGTAGCGCGTTTTTAAATTTTAAAAATATGGCGTGGTCAAATTGTTAAAACGTTTTTTTTTTTTTGCGTGGTCATATAAAGACATGAAATCGCACGTCTTCCTGTGAAAGCCTGATATATATATATATATATATATATATATATATATATATATATATATATATATATATATATATATATATATATATATATATATATATATATATATATATATATATATATACATATTAATATATAATATATAATTATAGTTTTTGAAATTTTTATATAATTTTTAAAATTTTTATATAATTTCGCTTCATTTGAGTACCAGGTTGACATACTTTTAAAAAACTTTTTTTTGAAAATATTAGGCACCTATTAAATATTCGAGGGTTTTGAGGGCCCCCTTAAAATATTTTTTATTCAAAAAAATTTTAAACCTAGTGTTTTTGTATTTAAACCTAGTGTTTTTGTAGAACACATTTAGGGGGTGGGAGCAAGTTTTTCTCAAAAAAGTTGTTTTAAGGGCCACCTTAATACACACACACGCACACACACACACACACATATATATATATATATATATATATATATATATATATATATATATATATATATATATATATATATATATATATCAGGCCTTGTGATAAATAAAAACTGGGCGACGCATAAGCACGATGTGGTTTTTGACGTCATTAAATTCTTTTTATTTGCTTTTCATATTTATTGACATTAACTGCACTAATTTACTTAATTACCGCAAAACTACTTAAAATCATTAATGTAGAAATGTTATTATTTAAAAATGTTTTGGAATGTTTCGTTTTTTAAAATGTAAAAACATTTGTTTATTTTCTCGATGTTTGACCCGTTTTGTCTATACTAAACGAATAAAAAACATTATAACTAAACATTTAAAAAAGATTATAAAATATGCTAATATTTGATTTTTTTTCTCAAATATATAATTTAAAGTTTTTCAAATAATTAATTTTTCTTTTTAAAAAGTCAGCGAGTGAATAAACTGGAAATTTTAATATTGTACGATTAAAAACTGCGCATTAGTTAATATTTTTACCAGCGATTTTACATAATATTTTTTTATTTATTTTTATTTATTTTTATAAAGTGGTTGATAAGCACAATCACTCGAATTACTAAAAAACCTTAACGAACGTTTTGAATAGATTTTGAATGTTTACAAGGAATTTTATTTCTAGTAAAATAAAATAAAATGTTAGAATAAAAATCTTATAGGTATAAAAGACATAATTCAGCAAAAAAATTTGCATATTGAACAATATTTAATAAAAGGTGCGCAAAAATAAAAAAAAGGAAACATTAGGTGGTTAAATATGAAAATTAATTTTTATTTTATTTTTTACGTTTATTGAGCCTTTTTCAGGGTGTTTGTGGAAATTCGCTTTAAATCGGTAGAAACCGGGTAACAAAACCAGGTTATATAAACTTAGCAAACTATTGACGTTCTATTTTTCAGCAGCTGTTCTTGAGCACGCTTCGTTGAGTTTCAGTAACTTTTCACAAAAAAGCAATTGTTATTACTTAAGTAATTTTTTTTGAGTTTGTAAAATTTTACAAAAATTTTAATAACTGTACTTTTTTATTGAATCAAGTAGAATACGTTTTAATATTAATCCTTTTATTTTTTTTTTATTTGCGCTTACCAATTTTAAAAATGTTTTCTCGAAATTACTCTTAAATACTTTAAATACGTCTAACAGTTAATAAATATTTTTAAATCTAAGGAATAATTTTAAAACCTAACAAATCCCCGTAAAATAATTATTTAAAGGGACTACCATGTCCCGAGACATGTTGTGTTCATATTAAAGAGAATGTTTAAAAAAAACGTCTGAGCAAATTTTTTTTGATTAAAACTAATTAATAAATGTATACCAAGAAAAACAAATCTTGTTGTTTTAGTCGAAGCTCGTCTTCTCCGTTTTCTCTGGTATTTTGAGTATGTAAAATAAACGCCATTTTCCAGGCGCATTATACAGACTTGATAATTTATTCAAGCGTGTTTAATTCATAGGAGTTTTAGAGCATGACGCCATTGGAAACATTCTAGAAATTCTTTAAAAATTTTATTATTAAATTTTACTCAAATAGCTAACTATAGTTACTTATTTTATTAAAAGTTTATTTTATTAATTGTTCGTTAGTTTTTTATAAAACTAAGGAACAATTAATTAAACCAAGCACTAAGAAAAGATATAAAAATTAAGAATATACTAATAAAATATATAATTTGTAATTAACTTTCAAAATTTTGGCAATTTATAAAATATATTATAAAACATTTATTTTTGTAAACAAATGATAATAGTTTTAAAGTTTTACGGCTTTACAGATGTGGCTCTGAGAATGAGCCATAATGTTAAAGTAATAGTTCATTTGATAATATATTCTTAAAAAAATTTATGCTAGATATCTCAAAACGCAACAAATCGTAAATAATACAATTTCTAAAACATTTCAACAGAATACTCTAGAACTTTATTTCGCTTAGTCAGCGTGTTTTTTGAACCAATAGAACTAGTTTGTTTGCAAATTTGGCAGGTTTTTAGTGTTTGCGAATATTCTTTTTATTCTTCCGCAAGATGTTTTAAGAACATTCAAGTTAATTATGTTTCCATGTATGTCTGTAAAATAAAAATTATTTTATATTAATTTTTTAATTTTTAAGCCCCCACCATAATATATATTGGATGTTATAATGGAAATATAAATAATGAAATAAGATCACCTCAATACCAAAAAATACATTTTTGAAAGTCAGAGAAAAAATGCATTAATAATTTTTTTTTAAATATTTACAAAGTAAATTAATAAAAGTGCATTATTATTTAGGTTAAGAATTATTTTATCTAATATTTTGAAAGAAAAACTTATAACAAAAGAAATCAAAATACACGTGGTCTAGACGATTATTTAAAAAAAGTTGCACAAATAAAATACTATTTTGTTTTTTATTTTATTTTTGTTTTTAATTTTATTTTGCTTTTAATTTTGTTTTACAAACACATTTTAGAACTTTAAAATATAATAAAAATGAATATGATTTGGAAATTGTATGTAAAAAATCACAATCGGTGTTTTAAACAAACAAAAAAAAAATCTATGACATCATGCACTAAAACTCCTATGAATTAAACGCGCCTGTATAAATCATCAAGTCTGTATAATGCGCCTGGAAAATTGCTTTTATTTTACATACTCAAAATACCAGAGAAAACGGAGAAGACGAGCTTTGACTAAAACAACAAGATTTGTTTTTCTTGGTATGCATTTATTAATTAGTTTTAATCAAAAAAAATTTGCTCAGACGTTTTTTTTTTTAACATTCTCTTTAATATGAACACAACATGTCTTGGGACTTGGTAGTCCCTTTAAGTTAAAAATTTAAAACTAAAAGAAATTATTTTTGTTCAATTTTATCGACAACTTTGCTATTGCTGAATAATTTATTTAAAATGTTAGCTTTAAAAGATTTAAACTTTTTTTTAATCTGAATTTTTTCTACTTGTAAATAATGAGCATATTTAGTTTTTTTATAATTCAAATTTTTATATCAACTACATGCGGTTTTGAAAATACTTTATTAAATGTTAAAATAATTGTAAATTACTTCATTAAAATTCCGCTCAAAAATATCTTTAAATATACTCAAAAATTTCTTTGCTTGACGCAAATAGCCCTAGCTACACGCAAAATCCCTGTTGGATGACGTAAAATTCACATCGCCTGACGCTTTATCGCAAGGCGTGATATATATATATATATATTTATATATATATATATATATATATACATATATATATATATATATATATATATATATATATATATATATATATATATATATATATATATATATATATATATATATATATATATATATATATATATATATATATATATATATATATATATATATATATATATATATATATATATATATATATATGAGAGAGAGAGAGAGGGAGGGTGTTAACTAGGAATAAATTTGATACAGTGAATAAATTTGCAATATTGGGAATTTGTCAAAAAATTGCTAATTATACCACTCCTGTCCCCTCCCCTTAGATTAAAATGTGTTCCGGGAATGTGTGGGGTCCTTTTATAATATTCTTTTTTCTTCTACTCCATTTTAGCGCTGCATACATTGATTGGACAGCACCAAAAATAAATGAAGTACTGTCTGTAAAATTTATTGAAGATAAATATAAAATCAACACAAAATTAAATGTGGTTTAACAACAACAAGGCAAATTAAACTCTGATTTCCAAAGATATATTCAGAATTATATATTTTTATATTACAAAATAATCAGTGTGTGTTAATTAATTATTATTAAGAATAATATATATGATTTACTATTAATCTTAATATATCATTGCCACTTTTATGTTAAGAGTATTCTTTTGAATGTATATATACTTTTCACTGGTGAGCATTCAAGTGCGATTTTTAAAGTAATATAGCGAAATTTAAATAATATAGCAATCTTCTACTTCTAATATTTAAGTTCTGTTTGACGTCCTTTTTGTGACCAGACCTTACACCATCATGTAATAAATTGTGTCATCAAATGAAATGTTTTAAAAATAGAAAATAAAAAAGGTTTTGAAACTAGTTGACATAAGCTCGTGAATTTCATATTTCACATTTACTGTGAGTTCAATTTATAATTAATATTAACTTTCTTTATACATAAAACACATAGTAAAATAAAGTTACATTTACAAAGTCTCAGCAAAAACAACAACAAATGTTGTTTAATTACAAAAGAATTACAAAAGATCGCAAGCAATTGCACGCTATCTTGGCGACAAAAAATACCAATAATTATTTTTTCATGCAAAGTCATAAAATGTTATTATGACTATGGTTCATTGAAACATTTAAATTAACTTTTATGTTTTGAATTCATGCAAGCAGTCAATCTAGTTTTCTTGTTTTTTAAATTTCTAGTACCAGTTTGTTGTAATAATTAAAAAAAAAACATTCTTGTTATTAAAGGTATTTAATTAACATTTTAATATATGTTTTTAATTTACTTATTAAGTATAAGCAACCAGTTTAATTTAATTTACGTTTTAAGTATAAGCAACGAGTAAAGTAAAGAAATCTATTTTCCTCATTAAATAAATTACTAGAACCAGTTTGATATAATCAAAAAACATTTACTTAACTTATTTAACTTTTCAGCCAAAAAGGGCGAAACTTTAAAACAAATAGAATTTGTGGGTGTTAAACCAAACAAATTTGTAGTTTTTTAAATTGTACCTTATTTCTTGTTAAAAGTTTTTTTAAATATTTGCTGTTGTTGAAATGCATTGCAAAAAAAAATTTGCAAATTTTGAAAAATGATTTTTTTTTGCTAGCGATTTTAGGGATTTTCAGAAAATCACAATTCTCAAAAAGTTTTTTTCCAAGAGACATATTTGCAGTTAAGCAAGCGCGTAGTTATACCAATAATGGCTATTTTATTTCAAGTTATAAACAATAAATTATTATTTTTTATGTTATTTTTCTATTTGTTTTTAATAGTAATTAATTTTCAATAATATTTAGAATTATTATTAAACTTTAATTTGGCAAACTTTATTTGGAGAATGTAATTTTTTCACTTTTAAATTGGGAGTTTTAATTTTATCAGCATTTGGGAATACCGCCAACATGACATACTTTTGATAAAAAAATTATTATTTTTGAGTTTTTTTCAGAAAAAATAACCTTTTTTAACCTAAAAATAAAAAAAGGGTATTTTTCCGATAATTATTCCATAAAAAAAATTGAATAATAATTTTTTTTTTAAATAATTGTTATTTTTAAAATTTTTATATAATTTTGCTTCTTTTGAGACCCAACATGGCATACTTTTAAGAAAATTTTTTTTTAATATTATTAGGGACCCGGTAAGTGTTCAAGGGTCTTGTGCTCCCCCTAAATCTAATAAAGTTTTGAAAAAAATTAACAGTGTTGCTTGTGAGAACCAATAGAAAGTTTTAAGAATATGAACAGATCTTTTTTAGAATATAAGGGGCAGCTGGGACACCCTAATATATATATATATATATATATATATATATATATATATATATATATATTTATATATATATATATTTATATATATATTTATATATATATATATATATATATATATATATATATATATATATATATATATATATATATATATATATATATATATATATATATATATATATATATATATATATAATGAAAATAAATAAATAAGAAACAAATGTTTGTTTCTCATTTAATATTGTTTCTCCGCCCAGTAGCTCAACAATGTTTGTGTTTCAGAGTTAAAGAGTGGGTTGACCTTGGTGAGTATGAAGATATATATTTACCTAAGGTGAATAGCATTAAAAGATTTTTTTTATGTTATTCAAAATTTAAAATATTTTTTTTACAGGTATAGTTATATATATTTTTATTTCAGATAGTATTGGATATAATGGAAAAGTATAAGCAGCATCCACAACTACAAATGGCTGCCACGTAATTTACTAATTTTTTTAATTATATATATAAATATATATATATATATATATATATATATATATATATATATATATATATATATATATATATATTGGCCTCGGCAGGAAGCGAGAGCTTTTGCTCTCGCTCTCGCCCACACTCCCCTAAAACGGTTTACAGGAACAATTTACGGCTCTTGCAAAAGAATAATTTTTCTCACGAAAGTCTAATTATCGTTGTAATTAAAAGAAAAAGCACAATGTCATTTTAAATAAATTAATTGCATAATATTCTGCAATGCTTTTTAAAAAGCACGGTTGTTGCAAAAATAAAAAATTAAATTAAAAAAAAGCACCAATTTAAATGAGGAGCAGCTCGCACAGCTCCCCAAGATTGTTTTAGGTAAGCTTTTCTTGGCTCTCATGCTCATTTATTCCTGCCAAGGCCTATATATATATATATATATATATATATATATATATATATATATATATATATATATATATATATATATATATATATATATATATATATATATATATATATATATTAGGGCTGTACCGGATTTCGGCTCCGGCTCCTGCTCCGGCCAAAATCAGGCAATTTTTACAATTCCGGCACAAATCCGGCTCCGGCAAAAAATTAGCAAATCCGGCATAATTTTAGCCGGAGTTTTGAATTTTGGTCAAGTATTTATTACATTTTTTTGCCCGTGTTTACATGTATACCTAATATTTTATTTATAAAATTTTTTTTTGTAATTCTATATTTTATGAACCTCATGTTTGTTTTGGTATATTTATATGCATGCAAGAAAACAGCAGTTACTTGGTAACTTGACATTCTGAATAGTCCACATTGTTGTCCATTCTCAACACCAAGTAGGGATGTACAGGATTTTAAAAATCGATCCACTCTATTATATATATATATATGTATATATATATATATATATATATATATATATATATATATATATATATATATATATATATATATATACTTATGTATATATATATATATATACTTATGTATATATATGTATATGTATATGTATATGTGTATATATATATATATATAAATATAAATATAAATATATAAATATATATA